TTTTTCATAGCAAAACATACGTTCGCTTCATCGACAATTCTACCAAAAGAATATGATATTGCAAAAAGGCCTGGCCTTCCTTGAAGATTCACATTTGCCCTGTGACCTAAAAGGTGCTCGTGGCAGTGTAGCCGAGTGGTTGGCGTGTTCAGCTCCCCTCCTGCACTGTCGCGGTTCGACTCCCGCTGAGGGTATTGATAAGACCGAAGCGAGGTTGAAACTGCAGTCTACTCCTGCCTGGATGAGAACAACTGTTGGGAAAGCAAGGCTATGTGAAAATTCAATGGAAACGTCAGCTCAACTCATATCATTGTGGGAAACTTCTTCTTCTACCAGTCCTTCATCACCTTAAACGAAATTGGGTGAATACATCTTAAATTTGTCACAAATTTCAGCATCTTCCATGCCTCAATTCCTTTAGTCCGGCCGGCATCTATTGGGGGATAACGGAAATAGCATAAAAAGTGTCGAAGTTGCTTTCCAGGGTGCAAATTAGTGAATAAATCGGCTTGGGTCATTCGCCTATCGAAATTAGACAATTATTTAACATAGTACATCAGCTGCTTGGCTAACTCAACAAGAGGCAGAACAAAAGGTAATTCGATGAAAAGGGATAAGAGCATGACATTCATACAAGAATGATCAATTCATACTATCGTACAGAAGTTTACTGGTTCGAATAACCTAGGACAAATAAATGTCATTTGACTCTGTGACTGGTTTATCGTGATTCAAGCAGGTGTGTAACATGTGAATTTAACATATCTATATACATCCTTGGTAGGGTAAAAACATATTGCTGTAGCATCCCTCTATATGCCCATGTGGCTTCAGTTGCTTGGGTTCTATGATACTATCAAATAATTTGTATGTTATCCTTCTAACGAATGCCACTTTGTGTTTGACATCAAGCTATCACTGTTACTTAGCAAAAGTTAAGTAGAGTGATAACTGTCTCCTGGATGAGTGTCCATGTAAAATTAATGCACAAGCTAAGGCATTCTCACCTTCATTGTTGACGGATTTATTTCTGGATGTCGAACCAATAAAGCGGTCTTCAATAAAATTAAAGTTGGCTAAGATACAAGATATTCTGAGAACCCATATATTTTACCGTGTTATTTGGGAGCATTTCAGTTTTTACTGTAATAAACTTCTGAAAGAAACAATAGTTATAATGTAGTATAGTTGTGGAAGTTTTTCCACAACAATAACAGATGAGGTAGAACTTCCCTGAATTCATATCCTATCTTCTGTTGATTCTATCTCCTAAAATAAGTCGTGTCTCGTCAGTCCAAGGACTGGAGCCTTAGTTATTTGCAAATACTAAATGTTAACATGTACTGAAAACTGAAGACATTCTAATTGGCAACATCAGATACACATTTGTGATGGCCAGAGCTCGTTTGTAAATTTGAAGTTATCCATTATTTGTACAGCAAGATCACTTTTTAGGAGTGCATACCTGCAGTAAGATCCCTGCCAGTGTACCTTGTGCTAGCATATACAACCGGTTAACTATTTCAAGGGCTGTCATTCGACAATTCAAAACTTTCGATGAATCTTCTGAGATAACATTGTTGGGAAGACCTTCACTTCGTATGAAAGTGCATGGAGAAGAGATTCGTAGGTTGATTTCAACAGAAGACTACGACTGAAGCCCGTTGATCTGCAGCCGTTTGGCTTTCATACAACGTTCAGGGCGACGTAGTTCACGAGGCCTCCTCCCTCGATTCGGATGAAAACGGGCTGAGC